ATCCTAACCCGCGAAGATACATGCAAGTTTAAGTTATCACAAAACTACCGATCAAATAAGCACAACACGAGGATATGAACGTAAGAGAAAGCATAACTCTACCAATAGTCGAGTATCCCGCCAAATCTTAAAGCAAGGCTTAGTAAACTACGTAAATTCTAGTCTCTAGCTCAGTCATGAATTCAAGTATTTAAACATGTAAGATTAATTCAAGTACTACAGTTAAGGCATGATGTAAGTCTAAATTTACCCGGACATATCAAGAATCTAGCATACATACAGATACTCATCATCTTGTACGTACGTAGCCCCCATAACACGTAGCACATAGTAGATAGATTACCTACAGGGATAAATTCCCTCTTATAAGATTAGACAAGAGACTTACCGTACTCCAAATCCGATAATCATCTCCAACACCTCTCTAACACCTCAAACCAATGTCGAACGACCTAAAGCTAGCCAAAATAATGTGTAAACTAATCAGAATATACTCAAGAACCCATAATATAACTATTAGAATCAATTCTCAAATCCATACAGAAAGTCAATAAAAGTCAACCTTGGGCTCACACACTCAGATTTTAAATATTAAAATAAATATTAAACATAGAATCACGAACTCAAATATATAATTTACTTCTAATTTCATATCCAATTTAGTTGTCAAATCCCCTCTTTACCAATTCTAGGTTTTTCCATAAAATCTCATAATTTTTACTAATTTCCTTGTAAAAATCCATATATAATCCATGGATTTAGCTCACAACAAGTAGGAAGTACTTACCTTGTGTTAGTAAATGAATATGGCTCTTTAAGAAGCCCCCAAATCGCCCAAGCAATGAGAGAAATAGATGAAATGAGCTAAGTCCCGAAATTAAAACTTATAATCTGTCCAGGCCTTCTTCTTCGCATCCGGGGACTCTTAGCCTCGTTCGCAAAGACAACTGCCACCCAACCCTTCGCGTTCACAAACAACTTGTCGTGTTCGCGAAGGTCAAGTCCTGCCAGCCCCTTCGTTCCTTCTACGCATTTGTGGAGTCCTCCATGGCATTCGCGAGCCATACTTCACGTTCGTGAAGTGCAACGACTGTCCCAATTTCCTTCTTCGTCATCGCAGGACCTCCTTCACGATCGTGAAGCATACCAGCACCAGCAAAAATCTACCAACTTTGAACATGCTCCGAGTGGTCCTAAACTCACTCAAGCCGCCTGAGACCCCGTCCAATTATACCAACAAGTCCATAAACATAATCCGGATCTACTCAAGGTCTCGAAACACATAAAATAACATCACAACAAAGAATCTGACCCCAAAACCAAACTAGTCAACTTTCCAAACTTTCAACTTTTTTCAACTAATTCCGAACGCGATGAATCATACTTAGACAACTAAAAATGGAACTGAATTTCATACACAAGTCCAATATGAAAATATGAACCTTTCCCCAAGCTCAGTATAACAAACGGTATCCGATATCACCAAGGTCGACTACAAGTGATATTTAGCAAACTCTAAGACCTTCTGTCATGCCCCAAACTCGAGGAGTATGATCGGCGCTCAAACGAATAAACCCGGCTGAGCAAGCCTTTTAGATTTAATTCTACCCAAATTCATCCCTAAATAAAGAGGAGATGTACTCCATTAATCAAACATTGAAAAGATTTCATTAACAACTCCCATTTCATTTCCATTAGCAGTTTCATTAATAATTTCAAAAATATTACAAGTTTATAGATATAATGAAAAAAACATGTTTTCCAAATACCAACATTTCTAGTTCAATTTCCCACTTCAAACACCACCCACAACCTGTCTACGGAGCCTCTAATTACAACAGAAGAGTAATATGGAAATGCCGGCAACAAGGCCCCGACTATACCTCAAAACACAAAGTACAACATCAAATAATATTAGGCCCGAAATAGAGTAGGGCTCACCAAAACCTGCTGAATAGGGAGTAGATGCTAACAAGGACCAAAGTTGCCCGTTGATGAACCACCTACATCCATTGAAGATGCAGCGCCCCTAGCAAAAGGGACGTTAGTACATATGGAATAGTACTAGTATGTAAAACTAACTGTCCTCTTTCAAAATAGAATGCCAAGATAAGAAAGGGAAAACCATAGAAACAACTAGTCATAATCAACAAATATCTAAATGTCCAGTTAAAAAATAACAATTTTCAAAATACCAAATTAATATATATTATTGGTTGGGAGATCATTAGCACCGATATACCACCGTGTTTGTAGCAGGAGTCCGATCACGCCCGATCGGCTAGGCCATCTCCCCATGAACAATGTGGTTTGACATGTGATGCGAAAGAAAAGTGTTACCAAGAGTAGTACCACCATGTGCGCAACATGGCGTTTGATCTCCACCTGATCAGCTAGGCCGCCTTCCCACATATGCCATGTGGGTTGAATTTTTCAATCCACAATTATTGCCAGTTTCATCCCAATTAAGGGGAATAATATCAACCCATAAATCTCATCCCAAATAAGGGGAATAATCATAATCCACTCCTACACCAGCACATGTAATTTTTGGTATGGGTTGTTACAACCTACCCTTCCACGGTTTGCTAATGATACTTTCCAAAAATATTATTTTTGTTTTTTCACACAAAGGTAACATAGGTACAAATGTATTTACCTCATCATCTTTCACATTGTATGAATCTCCACTAGTATTTTCAACCAATAACAACAACAATATTCCCTTGGCTCTTTTGGCCATTCACAAGATTATTTATTCAATGCATGGTGGCCATATTTGATATTCCACACTTTCATTTCTTCCCTCTCATGTATCATCATCATAAATATCAACATATATAATATTCCGAAAATCACAACTTTAAGTTCATTAGAAATGAACAATTTAAGCACAATAGATTTCTTTCCGAGAAATGGAGTAAAATAATTGGCAATTGATGCGCAAGTTAAAATCATCAACAAGTAACACACCATTTATTCTTGAAATACTTTTCCCCAAAAAGGGCAATGCACAATTTCCACTCACAAATATGTAAGAATGCAAAACACATTGAAAATACTCACAAAGCATAGTATTTGTTAAAACAGCCATATATGGGCATGACTTGAGTACATAAGCTTTTAGGCAATTCTATTTTTAAAATATTTTTGGAACGGTTGAGTCAAAGCTCATATATTTCCCACATCATCCTATTTCATTGGCACCATTAGCCACAAGTATAACTTTCACTCTTGGCACGTTGGCCACACTTTATACTCCCAATTCACTTATTTCTCTTCCAACCATCTTTGTAGATTATCAACAATAAGATATTTCTAATCAAGACTTTAGGTACACATATGAGCAATTAAGAGTCTTAAGCATATTGAGATTTTCTCGCACAATTTGGCATCATAGCCTTCATTTGAAACATGACTCAAAGACATAGCATTTTAATACACATATCATTCTTGAACACATTCCCAAAGGATAACATAATGTGATAGGAACATTCGTAACACGTTTTGAATACATAATTCTCGACGGTTTGCTTATTCGGGATAATCGAATTTATTGGGAACATCTCGGAACATAGAATAAGGAACTTGAGACAACCATACTTGAAACTTACGGGAACATCATGGAATTCAATTCTAAGAGAGTAGTTTAGCCAACGTACCTTCCTTGAGCTTTTCTTACATTACTATGATGTTCCAAAAATTCTAGCAACTTCAATCTATTTAGAAACATAACAAAAGTAAACCATAATTAGGAAGATATTCATAGGTTCACCTCACTTAAGCATTTCATCAAACACTAGGTGTGCAAAGTGGTTATTAGGTTCTTCCACAAGATTTCCTTCACTCCACAACCCAATCTTTACCCATTTGAGCTCAACAATCTTCCCACAAACCTTATTTGTATATACATATATATATAATACTCTCACACCCAAGAATCATACTTCTCATGACCTACTTTTAATCCAAATCCCGAAATTTAGAGCTAGGGAGTAGAATCTTACCTATTAGATGAAGATCTTGTGAAATCTTCAAGCCTTGAGCATGAATTGATAAACAAAATAGCTAGGTCTTCTCTTTCTCTCTCTAAGATACTCTCTCCTCTCTCTAAAAATCACATTTTACCTTCTAAAATGACCCCCTAAGGCCTTATTTCAAAATTGGATCGGATATGAAAATTTTCAAAAATGACCCCCGAAGTCAATTATGTGGTGCAATTGTGCTATAACATAATCGTTTTGTGGGTAGCAGAATTGATTATGTGGGCAGCAGAATCAATTATGCGATAGAATAATAGTTTTTTTCAAAATTTGTCCGTCTTTGCTCCACTTTGCGATGCTTATGCGGTCCACGGAACCGTTTTGCGGTCGCGAAATTGACCGCAGAGCCAACCTTTGGGAATTTGTTCATAACTTCTTGTAGGAGTGTCCAAATGATGAACGGTTTGAAGCGTTAGAAACTAGACTCAAANCGCATATCAACTTTCTTCATAACGCTCAAATACTTCGAAATTTTCCGGGGTGTTACACCTTCAAAATGGCAACTTCCAACAATAAGCACTGAATCGCTCTCAAGCCACCCAAAACTCGATCCGAACATACGCCCAAGTCCAAAATTTCCATATGGACCTATTGGAACTTTCAAATCCAGATTCTGGGGTCATTTTCTCAAAATGTTGAATTAAGTCAAACTTAGCCACTATGGGCAACTACCAAGGAACTAAGTGTTCCGAATTCAGCTCGAACCCTTCCAAACCCCAACCAACGACCCCAAAAGTCATAAAATAGAAAAAGCACATATGAAGAGTCTCAAATAGGGAAACAAGGTTCTAGAAATCAAAATGACCGATCGGGTCGTTATATTCTCTACCTCTTAAACAAACGTTTGTCCTCGGACGGATTTAGATTCATACCTGACATGCCCGATAAGTGTGGATATCTACTATGCATGTCCTCCTCGGTCTCCCAAGTTGCCTCCTATACTGGCTGACCTCTCCACTAGATCTTCACAGTTGAAATCTCCTTAGACCTCAACTTGTGAACCTGCCTATCCACAATGGCAACTGGCTCCTCCTCGTAACTTAGGCCCTCATCCATCTGAGATGTGCTATAATCAAACACATAGGACATGTCGGCATGGTACTTCCAGAGCATAGACACATGGAATATTGGATGAACTTCTGATAGGCTAGGAGGCAAGGCAAGCCTATATGCAACCTCGCCAACTCGCTCCAAAACCTCGAATGGATCCTCGGACTCAAATTGCCTCCCCTCCCGAATCTCATGATACCTTTCATCGACGAGACTTTCAGAAGTACCTTATCTCCCACCATAAATGACAAATCCCATGTTTTCTGATTCACGTAACTCTTTTTCCTGGACTGAGCTATGCAAAGACGCCCCTGAATCAACTTTATCTTATCCAAGGCATCCTTTACCAAATCTGTACCATAAAACCTAGCCTTGTTTGGGTCAAACTAGCCGATGGGGGAACATCATCATTGTCCATATAAAGCCTCAAATTGAGCCATCTCAATACTGGACTGATAGTTGTTGTTATACGCAAACTAGGCCAATGGAAAGAATCGGTCCCACTGCACTCCGAAGTCAATCACACATGCCCTGGGCATATCCTTTAGAATTTGAAATATCTGCTCTGACTACCCGTTGGTCTGCAGATGAAAGGTCGTGCTGAGCTCTACTCGGGTATCAAACTCACTATGTACCTCTCTCCAAAAATGCAAAGTCAATTGAGTGCCTCGATATGAAATAATAGAAATAGGCACGCCCTGCAGGACGATCTCCTAAAGGTAAATATGGGCCAACCTCTCCAATGTATATGTAGTCATCACCGAAATAAAATGTGCAGACTTGGTCAGACTATTGAAAAAGACACAAACATCATCAAATTTCCTCAACGTCCGTGGCAACCCAACCACAAAATCCATAGTGATGCGCTCCCATTTCCATTATGGTATAACCATCTGCTGAAGTAAATCACTCGGCCTCTGGTGCTCATACTTAACCTACTGGTAATTCAGACACCTCGATACATACTCAACTATGTCCTTCTTCATCCGCCGCCACCAGTAATGCTGCCTCATCTCAGAATACATCTTTGTGGTGCCTGAATGAATGGAGTAACACGAATTGGGTGCCTCCTACAGAATCAACTTCCCATGCCATCAACATTAGGAACACATAAGCGACCCTAGAGTCGCAGAATACCATCATCACCAATAGTCACCTCTTTGGCATCACCTCATAGTACCGTCTCTCTAAGAATTAGCAAGTGCGAATCATCATACTAACGAGCCTTAATCTTCTCAAACAAAGAAGACTGAGCCACAACACAATGTGACTGGGCTTTGAAATATCCAACCTCACAAGTCGTTTAGCTAAGGAATAAATGTCCAAAGCAAATAGCTTCTCCTCTGCTAGATAGAATACCAAACTACCCATACTCTCGGCCTTTCTGCTCAACGCATCCGTGACCATATTCGTCTTGCCCGAATGATAAAGAATGGTGATATCATAATCCTTCAGTAACACAAGCCACATGTTCTGCCTTAGATTAAGATCCTTATGCTTTAACAGATGCTGCAAACTACGGTTGTTGGTGTAGACCTCACTCGACACTCCATAAAGATAATTCCTCTAATTCATAAGAGCATGAACTATCGCAACCAACTCCAAGTCGTGCATAAGGTAATTCTTCTCATGGAGCTTCAACTGATGAGAAGCATAATCAATCTCTTGCCCCTCCTACATCATACACAACCCAACCCAAATCGTGAAGAGTCACAATACACTATGTATATCCCTGAACCGGAAGGTAAAACCAATACCAGTGTTGTAGTTAATGCGGTCTTGAGCTTCTGATAGCTCGCCTCATGATCATCGGACAACCTGAATTGAACACCCTTCTGGGTTAGTCTAGTCAATTGAGCTGTAATAGATGAGAAGCCATCCACAAACTGACGATAATACCCTAATAGCCCCAAGAAACTCCTGGTCTCAGTCGTTGTGGTAGGACGAGGCCAACTCTGAACTACATTGATCTTCCTGGGATCCACCTTCATACCCTTACCTGATACAACATGCCTAAGAAAGCCATAGAATCTAACCAGAACTTGCACTTGGAGAACTTAGCATATAGATTATGTTCCTTCAAAGTTTGAAGCACTATCCTCAATTGTTGCTCGTGCTCCTCCATGCTACACGAGTAGATCAATATGTAATCAATGAAGACAAGGAAAAATGAGTCAAGATATGTCCTGAAATACTGGTGCTATAGTCAATGCGGACTTGACTTATGAGAGCTCACCTCAGAATCATCAGACAACCCGAATTGAACACCCTTCTAGGTTAATCTAGTCAAAGGATTTGTAATAGATGATAAGCCCTCCACAAACCGATAATAATACCTTGCTATCCCCAAGAAACTCCTGATCTCAATCGTTGTAGTAGGACGAGGCCAACTTTGAACTGCCTCGTTCTTCCTGGGATCTATCTTCATACCCTCACCTGATACAATAGGCCAAAAGAAAGCCACATAATATAACCGGAACTCGCACTTGGAGAACTTAACATATAACTTATGTTCCCTCAAAGTTTGAAGCACTACCCTCAATTGTTGCTCGTGCTCCTCCATGCTACGCGAGTAGATCAATATGTAATCAATGAAAACAATGAAAAATGAGTCAAGATATGTCATGAATAACCGATTCATCACATCCATAAATGTCGCTGAGGCATTAGGCAAGCCAAAGGACATCACTAGAAACTCGTAGTGTCCATACCTAGTTTGAAAAGCCATCTTTGGAACATCCGAAGCACAAATCTTCAGCTGATGATACCCAGATATAGAGTCGATCTTCAAGAACAATGTAGCACCCTGAAGCTAATCAAATAAGTCATCAATGCGCGACAATGGATACTTGTTCTTGATGATGACATTATTCAACTGGTAGTAATCAATGCACATCTGCATACTCTCATCCTTTTTCTTCACAAATAACACTGGTGTGCCCCACAATGACACACTCGGCCTAATGAATCCATTCTCGAGAAACTCCTGAAACTACTCGTTCAGCTCTCTTAACTCCATAAGAGCCATATAATATGGCGGAATAGAGATAGTTTGGGTGCCTGGCGCCAAATCAATGGCGAAGTAGAAATCAAGATCTAGTGGCATGCCTTGTAAGTCGGTAGGAAATACATCGGAAAACTCCCTTGCCACAGGCACTGAATCTAATATGGGAATCTCCACAACAGTATCTTGAACAAAGGCCATATAGGCTAAACAACCCTTTTCAACCATATGTTGAGCCTTCAGGAAAGAAATAACCTGTCTGGATGCAATACTAGATGAACCTTTCCACTCCAGTCTAGGCAACTCTGGCGTCGCCAATGTAACAGTCTTGGTATGGCAATGTAGAATGTCATGATGCAGAGATAACCAGTCCATGCCAAGGATAACCTCAAAGTTAATCATATCGAGCAATAGAAGATCTGCTCTGGTCTCATACCCCCAGAAAGTCACCATATATGACCATTAAACTTGATCACAACAACAATCACATACCGACGTGGACACATACATAAGAACACCGAAAAACTCACGAGATACATCCAGATAAGGAGCAAAAAGAGAAAATACATAGGAACAGGTAGACCCTGGATCAAATAGTACTGAAGCATCTTGAAGAGAAAATACATAGCAATAGGTAGACCCTGGATCAAATAGACTGATGCATCTCTAAGACGGAAGGAAATAATACATATGATTCGGCATCAGAGGCTACTGCCTCTATCCTAGCTATAAAATCATAGAATCTAGCCGGACCTCACCTGACTAGCCTTTACCTCTAGGGCGACCCCTACTCACCTGCTCTCTGTTTATGGTTGGCCAGACGGGCAGTGTGGCAGCTGGTGCGGTAATCATGGGCTAATGGCTCTGCTGTACTGCTTTGCCCTAAAGTTTAGGACAAGACCTCTTTAAGTGACCAAGCTCCCTGCACTCGAAGCAACGTCTAGATGTGGGAAATTGTTGACTCTGGATCTGGCCCTGATAGCCTGAGTGCCCACTAGAGGAACCCCAAATAGCTGGTGGAGGGTAGGTACTCTCTAGAATGACGCTAAAGTAAGGTTGTGCTGGAGCACCCCAAATAGGTTGTGTTGCTGAATACATGGGCCTACTAGGATGGCCCCTCCCAAACTGATCTCTGCCCCCAGAGGAGGCACTGTTGAACCCTCTAGAGTACCGAGGTCGTTTGTCCCTCAATGTGACCTCTCTTCTCTGACATCGGATACACTCATTTGAGCTATCTCTACAGCCTGGTGGAAAGAAGTCCCCAGCTCTGCCTCTCGGGCCATAGTAACCTGAATCTCATAGTGTAAGCCTGCAATAAACCTCTGCATCATCTCTGCCTCTATGGGAATTAATATGGTTGCATGATTAGGCAACTCAGTAAATCTCACCTTATAGTTGGTCACAGTCATCTGGCCTTGCAGGAGTTACTCAAACTGACCCCATAACTCCTCCCTCCGGGATAATGGAATATACTTCTCCGGGAAGAGGTGTGTGAATTGATCCCAAGTCAAGGGAGGTGAACCTGCTGGCTTACCTAGAAGATAAGACTGCCACCATCTACGGGCTCTCCCCTCCAGCTAAATAGTGGAGAAGTCTACTCCATTGGACTCCACTAGTCCCAAATTATGCAGCCTCTCCCGGCAACGGTCAATGAAATCTTGTGGTTCCTCTGACGGCTCACCGCCAAAGTAGGGAGGATGATGACTAGTAAATCTGCCCAACCGCTTCTACTCCTCGACAGTCACGGTCGGTCTAGTCTCTACTCTAGACATTGCAATTGGCTGAACTCTACTCGCAGGTAGTACCCCTAGAGTCTTATAAATAGTAGAAAAATGCCCTAGAGCATGAGCGGTAGGAGTCTGGGCTGCCACTCCATCCTGGGATATGGCCGGGTCTGCTGGAAATAGTCTGGTTGAGTCATAGAGTTCATAAATCACAACATACGGCCCATGACCTCCTGGAAGCCCAGCGCGGTCGTGAACTCTGCTTGGGCCTGCTCAGCTGCATGTATCTCATTCTGCTCCTCAATAACAGGTTCCTCCACTAGATCCACTTATGGTGCTATTGGGGCTACTCTGGGATGCCCTCGTCCCCCAATAGGAGCTCTGGCCTCTACCACTACCTCTGATGATTAGGGGAAGCCCCTCTACCGCCACGTAATGCCATCATGCGCGTTCTCACCATCTGTTAGAGAGTAAGAGAAAGATTTAGAATTAGAACACCATCGAAAGCACGATATGAAATGAAGAAAGATAAGTTTCCTAATACCCTATAGCCTCTCAAAGATAAGTACAGACGTCTCGGCACCGATCCTCAAGACTCTACTAGGCCTACTTATGACTCATGAAACCTATGTGAACCTAGTGCTTTTATACCAAGCTATCACAAACCAATTTCCCACCAAAGGTCATGATGGCACCCAACACTTTCGCCGAGCAATAAACACTAACTCATCAAAACAATAGACCATTCATAACACTTTTAAAATCAAGTAGATAAAAGAAATAAGTGGAAGTAGGTTTAGAAATCGGGATAAAATGCCAACATCTTTGTACGAAGCATGAACAAAACATAAACTGAATGTTATAATAACAAATACAACCATGAACATCTACTAAAATCCTCAAAACCTGATGTCACAAGTGCATGAAGATCTATTAGAACATAAAAACTACTACAACTACTGTCTGAATGAAAGTAGACAAAATACAATAGATATAAAGGAAAGAGACTCAGTGTGCTACGTCTGAAACATAGAAGGCATCTCACCACTTCCCAGCAAGTGCGTCTACGTGCCTAGGTGACCACCAGATGTATCTGTCTCGGTACATGAACAATTAATGTAAAAATATAGTATGAACACGTAAATCAGCGAGTACCTAGTAAGTATCTAGTCTAACCTCAAAAAAGTAGTGGCGAGAGGTCAACATCGACACTTACTAGTGATTCAATAATCAATGTACATAAAAGTAGACAGGTATGAAGCACGACAAATAGTAACGAAATAGATAAATATGTATAACATGAATCTTGATAGAAGAATAAATATGATATCATCAAATACCAAATATTGCCTTGAATGGAATATATGTGACCAATATCCGGTGCAAATATCAAATCTGGGCCAGGATACTCATATATGCACTGACTCCCTATCGAAATATTACCCATAATTCTGTCGAGGCGAATGACCCGATCCCATAAGAGTGGTGCTACATGATAATGCTGAGGTCGTACGACCTAGTCCCGCAAGTGTATCTCATAATAGTATCAAGGAAAACAGCCTGATCCCATAATAATATTTCATACCACTACTGAGGTGAACGACACGATCCTATAGGAGTGGTAAAACATTCAACGGATCACTAGCCCAACTCGCGAAGATACGTGCAATTTTATGTAATCACGAAACTACCGATAAAATAAGCACATCACGAGGATATGAACGTAAGAGAAATCATAACTCTACTGATAGTTGAGTATCCTTCCAAATCTTAAAGTAACAAGGCTCAGTCAACTACGTAAAATTTAGTCTCAAGCACAATCAAGATGTTACAACCCATATTCGCGTACGATAGATAATGCCGTAAGTTAGTCGACGTAAATCAGGGAAGATATTATCTTTGAAATGATAAGAAGTTAATCCTATTGGTCTTAAATAATACATGGGTGTATAAGAGTGGTTACAAAGTATTAGAAGTTACAAGTTAAACGAATCAAGGATGTTGTATCCCGTATTTTCGGGTAAAACTAGAGGTGCTTCATATGATAAGGAGGTCGTATTTTACTGTATTTGAATCATATAATATCCGTATCATAAGTCTTAAAGTGAAGCGAGTTATGAAACTAAAGTCGACAAAAGTTGTCGTAACTTACGTTCATAATTTGACTTAAAATTTAGGTATAATGTTACTAATATTTTCGCTCAATGTACTTGGAGTTACGGGGTGCTACACCCCTCCAAATTTAATATCTATGAGCCTAGTTTCCAACTAATTAAGCCGTTCATCAATACAACGTCGGAGTAAAGAGATATTTACATTTTTACGAGACTGCGCAAGCAGCACTTTATGGGACCCACTTAGGCGGTTGGGATTTATAGATATATATATTAGACTCCTAAAGACCGTTTTAACTCATTATTTTAAACTCTATTCAGACCCTAGATACCTAAAAACTTTCTCTCAAAGTTCTCTCATGATCCAAGACCCAAACAAAGGGAAAACAACACAAATCAAGTGTCAGGAATCCTGTGGCGCTAGTCTCATCTTGTTCTTCTTGTTCTTATTGTTGCTGATTTTGGTGTGGTTTCAGCTCGTGTGGGGGGTTGTTTCAAGTGGTTTAAGTTGTGTAAAATACTCTCCAAAGGTTTTCATATCAACCCTAGGTGATTTCAAGACTTCCAAAGTGATTCCAGTGCCGAGAAACTTGAATTGATCGCTAGTTTCACTTCATTGTTCTTATGGCTGCATTGGGAGGATATTTCATGGTGAAGTAAACTCAAATTGGAGTTGTTCTGTCTGTGTAAAGGTAATGAATCTATTAGTCTATATGTATTTAAGCTTATCCAAGTTGCGGCTAAGTCGTTGAAGCTAGAACTTGTGAGATATCTGTCGAAAGGCTTGTTAAAAATGTTGTTGATTGGTGGACTGTTATGGGAGGCTTAATATGATTATTATTGATGTTATTTGGGCTGTTTGGTGATTGTTTTAACTTGTGGAAAATCATATAAATAAAGGATGTATTGTCCATTTCATCGTAAAATAGGTTGCGGTTCATATATATTAGTTACGACGCTTAAACGATAACGATAGTTTCATTTCTCTTATTGTAGACTAAGGAGCTGTGAGATTTACATAGCTTGAGGTTGGGCAGTATATACAAAGTATGTGAGGCTATTTCTTTCTTTTTTTTTCACGATTCCGATTGTACATAATGTAATGAATGAGCTTCCAAAGATATTCCACTCATAGAAGCTAGCAGTACTTACATTGTTTCCCTTATTATGGAACTATTGATGTTGATGTTGCTTCTCTTATTCTTATGTTATCAATGTTGTTGGTATTTCCTGATTCTTATAACATTCATGATGAAGAGTTAGCCCTAATAATGTATACGGAGGTCACCGGCCTTACGTCACTCTGAAAGGTTTAGAACGTGATCCCATGAGTGTAACATGCATTATATATATGTATCTATTTTACTCTATCGAGCCGTGCTATAGTCAGCCGGGTACGACACCTATTGTGCAACCACTGATCAGATGGGGTTTACCGAGTTCCACATGGCCGGGTGCGATTCTACCGAGCCTTATGATGGTCGTGTACGTTTTTATCGAGCCTATTATGACCATGTACGATATGATGATATTTTTCCCACGGAGGTGTATGTTTTTAAAGGTATATATATATATATCATGCATTTCATATTAGTCGCACTCAGAGGCACTCAGA